TCTCTCTCTCTCTCTCTCTCTCTCTCTCTCTCTCTCTCTCTCTCTCTCTCTCTCTCTCTCTCTCTGTGTGTGTGTGTGTGTGTGTGAGTGTGTGTTTGTGTGTCGCCACAAAGTTATCACAGCGCAAAGCGAAAAAAAAAAACAGAACGAAAACAAGAAAAAAAAAATCGTTTTTTAATCTTCTTCCTTACAACTCCCCCTGTTCAGAACCTCTTGCGTACAAGGCCGCCCGCATGGATGTACGTTGAGAGGCGGCTGCCCCCACCCCCGTGTGTCATATCGACCCATTTGCACACAGCCGAAGGGCAAAGAGGCAAAGAAAAGAGGAAGGAAACAGCTGAACACAACAAAACAGGGGGAAACACAAATCCTAGATGACAAGTCCCACATGCAAGCACCGCTCCCACTTCACAGGCCAAGCGACGGGACAAGACCAACCAGGATATCAAAACACCTTGCCTGCAAGAAAAGGAAATCAATCTACTGCGACTGCCGCCGTCTGTGCTGAAGGATGTCCAACAAAACATAGAAGACAATCCAAGATGACGATTACCGTGCTGAAGGATGTCCAACAAAACATAGAAGACAATCCCAGATGACGATTACCACATAAAAGCACCGCCCCCAAATGCACAGGCTGAACAACGGGAAACAACCAACCAGGATGCCAAAATAAAAAGGAACCTGGATGACTAGTCCCACATGAAAGCACCGCTCCGCATTCCAAAATAGACCGAACAACGGGACAAAACCAACCGGGATGCAGACAAAGTTACCAGAACAAATTCTACCATATCCATAATGAACAACACCCTTCCCTGCAAAAAAACAAAAATCCCAGATAACAAACCCTTCGTGCTCGCCAGCATAGGCACCCTATCACAGTTTCGACGCATGCTTCGCTGGTCTAAACTGAAATACTGGGACACCTATCAGGGGTTTATATAAAGACAATCCGAGATGACGATTCCCACCTAAAAGCACCGCCTCCCATCGATAGGCCAAACAATGGGAACCAGCCAACTAGGATGGCTAAGGAAAAAAAAACAGATGTCCCACATGAAAACACTGCCACGTGGACCGAACAACCCACATGAAAACACCGCCACGTGGACTGAACAACGAGACAAAACGAGACAAAACCAAACGGGATGCAGACACAGGTGCCAAAAATACCAACAATTCTGACATAACCATACTTGAAAAAAAGGAACCATACAGCAGGTCCGCCAAACGCAATACCCCAACAATGGGGAAGAGCAAACCAAAGAAGAAGAAAGATAGAAAGGAGAATTAGAAAGAGTATATTCTACCATAACCAAAGAAAGAGCCCGCTAGTATAGGACCGACGCTCGCCGCATCATCTACAATAGCAGAGAGCTAGCACCGTCGGAATATATATATATATATATAGTCAAACAGAGCTGCCCGGTAAACCGTAGGCAGAGAGGGAGAAGAGGACAACAAGCGAGGGGCTGTGGCAAACTGTTTCGTCGGAGTTTCACCGACTCATCAGGAGGCTGAACCCTCAACAGTCTGCCGAATCCCCTAACTGATTACACTGTAAGTGATAATATATATATTCTATTATATACCTCTCTCTCTAACGCGCATGTGCATGCGGGGGCACGTATCACTGTTGCACCTGTCTCTCTCTCGCTCGCACCCTCCTCCCCTCCTGCGCAACTCTCCCACTCCCTCGCATATGCATCTCTGCCTCTCACTCTCTGCCACCCTCTCTCCCGTGAACCTATCCCTATCTCGACTTCGTGCT